TTCTAATTCTATTTTGGTAAATTTTAACATTGCATCCCAACTTAAACCTGGGGCAGTATAGTAATGAGCAGGATCTAAATCCATAAGTTTTAATACAAAGCTTTCTAAAGTTTTCAAATAGATCAGTCAAAAGTAAAACATCAGTTTTTTAAATATAAATTGGAATAATCAGACATACTACTACACTTAAAATTTTACCAAATATCTTTTGCATGATTATAATCATCATTTGAAATATTTGAATCTGTGAGTGAACTTAAAATTGGTGTTGATCAGGAAGTGATGGATGTTTCAAGCAATCACTATTACACATAAATTCCTAAGGATAAATACCTTTCCGTCTTAAACGTGAAAAGTCTTCATTATTAGGATAGTTCCTTTTTAGTTCTGTAAACTGATCATCATTAAGATTTTTAGCTAGTTGATCTAAACTACACGATAAAAATTTCAATGAATCTACAAATCTTAAACTTACCGGTTGATTATTTATTGTTAACTGTTTTGAAAATGATATGTATCGTTCTTTATTTTGTGGAATAACTTCAACTTTGTTATCATCGAAGTTTAATGCATGGACAATGAAATGAGCATCGTAGTGACTGAGGTTATGTAAGAATATTGGGATATGACGAGGGGTTCTGTACTTAGAACTACACACATGCATTGATGTGCAACAACCCTAAAACTGCCAGTGTGCCAATCAAAATCGTAAAAAAGATCTTCATTTACCTCAGTTTCACAAATATAACATATGTTTGAATTTGAAATTTTAATTTTATCTTCATCTGATAATGGAACGGGGCATTTTTGGAAACTATTTTTTTTAACTATTGTTTTCACATCTTCACAAAGGCGATTCATAAACACTTGTGCACAGTTTGACCCACTATACGTCTCATATTTTGATAATCTGTTATCATATGAACATTTAATATAATATCCAAAACTATACACTTCATGTTTTTGAATATTAATCGTACTAGGCTGAGATGGATCGTTACTACATGATTCTATTGGATTCAAAAATGCCTCAAAGTCTGCATAAATCACAAAGGGCATTTCCAACTTTTTCACGAATTTGTCAAATTTTATTTTATTATTTGAGGTCGGTTTACCAAACCAATCCTTTTTGGAATACTCGCCGTTTGGTAATTCCGTACAAATGTGAGCGCAATCATATTGTCGATGGCTATTAAGTCTTTCCTCTGATGGGAAATGAAGTAAACATGAATCACATATATAAACTCTCAATGTTGTCTTGATATTTGTGAACTAACTAATCGCGATAAGTTTTTAATATAACAGTACCTAATGATTTTTAATACCATTCGATATATATAGTAGGTTAATATGATTAGGTGTACGACATTTTGTTCAATATAAAGGACCTAATAATTCTGTTGGAATTACACTTTTTTTCTTTATTAGGTAAGCCAAAACATTAATACTAATATTGTTTAATTTCTCAACTTTTGATATATCTGCAATTTTAACCGGAAAAGAAATACCAGTAAATTTTAGTTTATTTCCATGAATTGCGTAAGATGCTACCCGATCTACACTTTTACATACAGGATATAAACCAGAGAGTAATGCAATGCCCATTTGCTGGGTCAAATGATGTAAAGTTTAAAGTTTGCATTACGAACGCAACTCTTATTGATCGAAGAGCTTCAGCTTCTACCACTGCTAAATATCCTATTACTCGTGCTGAAGTTAAAGTTTTAACAATTCCATCGGGTGTTCAAGGAAAAACTCTTGATAATATATTCTTAGGACAGGTACCCAAAAGATGTATTATAGGTTTTGTGAATAATTCTGCATTTAATGGTTCACTAACTAAAAATCCATTTAACTTTGAAAATTATGGTATTAACTCTTTCAGCTTATATATTGATGGTCAACAAATACCATCCAAAGCTTTGCAACCATCTTTTAATAATAATATATTTACATCAGCATATCATACTCTATTCTCGGGGACTGGTATTCACTTTCTTAATGAAGGAAATGCAATCTCACGTGAACAGTATGCCAAAGGTTACTGTCTTTTAGCATTTGATTTAACTCCTGATTTATCAGCTAACTCATCAGCCCATTGGAATCTCATAAAGCATGGTAGTGTAAGATTAGAAGTACGATTTGAATACTCACTAATACAAACAATTAACTGTATTGTTTATGCTGAGTTTGATAATATTATTGAAATAGATAAAAATAGAAATGTTACTGTAGACTATAGTAGTTAGGATTATAATGTGTATTGTGTTTTAGATATATGTGTTACGCTTAATGCATTTTGTGTGTGTAACTAAAGGTAACATTATAAAATTTAATAAAACAAAATGTATGCAATGTACTATTTTTTATTTACTTATAAACCTTCCCTATTTAATCTTATACAATATACTACTTATAATTAAGTAGAGAAGAGAGTATCCGAGCATCACCATACGATAAATCGAACAGTTCACGCTTCTCCATTTCATCACAAACTTTTATATCATTAGTTAACATATACTATTAGTTTATCTATGATTAGTTTATAAACATCTTTAGAATCCTTAATTTGTATTAATATGACTAATCCACTAATGAGTGAGTGTTATTGTTAAAAAAGTATTTTTTTACTTTTTCACTTTCTGCTATTGTCTTTGTAATATTGTATACGAGGACCGTTTGTGTTGTTGTAGATGCTATCCTTATAATTCTTTACGTAATATTTAATCCTCGTGGTAGCGTGCTTCCAGTGATCACTAGTTGGAATCTTGGATAGTTTCTTCATATCTTACATTTCAATTTTTATGAGATGCGTCGCTTGGTCTCCGTCGTCAGAATTTGTAGAGATGTATGATACGCCATCTTTAACAGCTCGTGCCACAGTCGACGATAGCAGCTTCCTCCATTTTATTTTTGGTGCCACTTCAAAAAATTTATCAATCGGTTGCGATTTCCTTTATCCACCATCGTCTGTGTTATTAACGACGATGTCGTCACTCTCTTCTTCGTGTTGGGGAGAGAGAGGCGAGTAGTAATACTGTTTATAGGTATTTACATTATCGTCTGCGAAGCTGAATGATCTCTGCAACAACAGAGTTATCACGTTAATATCAATTTGATTAATCTGACACACAACACACACACACACACATACACACATAAGGAAACAACAACAGAAATACAAGTAAGTTTGTCAATAGAATAAACACTTACCTCCATGATGCGTTGAAGTAGGTAACACAAACGTAGTATTGGTAGACGTATACAATTCACCATACACTGATTGCATGACTGCAATTGTTCCATCATATATAGTCCATTCTTATCTAAAACATGACACACACATACACATCCCTAAGTACAACGAAACTCTATGAATCAACAAACTTATCTCACATCACAACAGGCATGAACCTGTTTTGTGACTTACACAAAGAATGCGATTTTTTATTTACAAATCACTATCATTGAACATTCCTATGACAACCATTTTATAGATTGGTACTGTAATAATCTGCTAATAACAGTAATATCATGGATTCACTAGAATTACAAAAACATATGAAAAGATTCATTCCAGTCTAGAAAATAATGTTTATGCTGCTAATAGACTACCTATGTACACACATGTACCAACGTATATAATATGCAATTTGGATGCGGATGATAAACCAGGGTCACACTGGGTAGCCATACATATCGATACAAATGGTATCGGCCAATATTTTGATTCATATGGATGAACACCTGAGCGATATCATCTTCAGTTTTTGAAAGGAATTGTAAGAGGTGGGACTGGAATGTTGATAGGATTCAGAATGATTGGACTTCGGTTTGTGGCGAATATTGCTTAATGTATTTGCTATTTAAGTTTCAGGGATGTTCAATGCATAGTTTTACGAACATATTTACAGGAAACACGCTGTACAATGATAATTTAGTGGATGAGATGTTTCACTCATATTTTGTAAAAAAAGTAATAAAACTTCGAAATAAAAATGAATGACTGTGTTTTATTGATGATATAGAAAATCAGACAAAATGAAGATAACAATGAGTATTAAGATAAGAACGCCAAAGCAACCGTAATGAGAGAGTTCGAAGCACAATAGATAATGATAACGATAGGCGAACAATGGGACGTTAAGTAATGTAACGATAAGCAAACAAAGGAACGTTAATGAGGGTTCAGAAGCTGATTCTGATTTGCATAACTCCAGAACCACGCATCCTACGCAAAAATGGACTGCAGAAACGTGATCAGAGCATGCCAAAACCTAGGATAGCATACCAAAATTTTTTTTTTTTTTTTTTTTTTTTGGTTTGGTGCCACTCAGATTTTAGATTCCGGGTGATTAGCTGGTTCTGGCGCGTGCGCCAGAAACAGCGATTCACCACTACTGGTAAACTTCCGGATCGTTTTAATAACTGTAAATACATATTAGTTTCTACCTACCTTGAATGTTTTAGCGACATCACCTTGGCGTAATTAGAAAGCGTGTTGTTTGTTGTCATAGATTTTATCTACCTTGCAGCTATTTCCGTGGTTGGAAAAACTCATAGATACATAAACTGACACCTTTATTCTTAGTAGGAAAGGGAAGGATTCTTTATCGTAATTAACTTACTTTTTTTTACTGCTCACACACGTACACAAATGGTCTTTTGAGTGATCCTAGGGTTGGGCAAAGTGTAAATAGGTTTTAAATCTTTTGAAAATCACATTATCAGTTAAAACTCAGTTTTGAACATTGCCCACCATTTTTGCCAGTAATTTCGCGTATTATAAGATTGTTGAATTTAGAAACATCCATGCTGGCGCATACGCTGCGCACATTATGTAGTTTTTCGCGTAGCGCTGCTAGTGACTATGAGCTCTAGGCTTGAAATGCGTTACCTCGCAAAACAGTTACGTCATGAAGCCGTAATTATTATTATACCACCGCCAAGATGTCCGCTGCTGACCCCAGTAAGCCGCAAACCATCTCCTTTTCTTCCAGGTATCTACAAGTTGGCCCTCAGTCATTCCAAGCTAGGCATCACCAAGGAGGTGATGGCTACGAAGGTTCTCCCGTTCCTCATTCCTCTCTGTGTGGAGAACGGTCTGACGCTGAACCAATTCAACGCCCTCATCACGTTGGTTAAGCAGATGATATCCAAGGTGGAAACAGAGCATAGAGCCAAATTGGAACAACTGAATTCTATTAATAATGAGTCTAAGTGAGTATTTCGTAATTATGATTATATTATACTAGCTGTGGTCCGCGTAGTTTATAATCGTATATAAACAATTTGAAAAAAAAATCAAATTGTTTAAGATGTTTCGGGAACAAAGTTGTTTCTGCCGTCAGCTTCGCCTGGATAAAACGCAGCATATGTGCTATTCCAAACTATTATCCATATGCCATCTTTGTACCAAATTTCATTCAGATCCGTTCGTTCGTTTTTACGTGAACGAAAAACAAATATCCATCATATCATAATCTAGATCCATCGGATGATCGGATCGGATGAGAATCATGTTACAAAAAATCGCGTTTATAACATTACTAGCTAGTTTCGCGCGGTGTCCCCTGCTGCTCGGCTCCTTCAGATCGTAACGTGATGTTTTATAGCCTAAAGCCTTCTTCAATTAATGGCCAATTAAATTCAAAAATAATTTTTCAATTCCAACCAGTAGTTCTTGACATTAGCATGTTCAAACAAACAAACTCTTCCGCCTTATAATATTATAGTACAATATGGTTTAGATTAGGATTTTGAGAAGATAAACAGGATTTTGTTATTTAGTTCTGATATAGGGTACTGGTAAAATAATAAATATTATATTTGAATACAATGTGTTCCAGGATAATGGAGCAGACAATGTCTCCATCATCAGACACCCTGGTGTCGGCTCCCGCGCCGCCTTCCGACCTGGACAAGATGTTTTCGGGGCTCGGCATAGACCCCTTCTCCTTCAACCAGGCTAAGGAAAAGGAACCACCAGCCACGCCAGTCGTCACCAATAATGGAAGACTTACTATTGAGGATAAGCAGAGGTAAGCGTTTTATTTTTGTTTTTTTAGAAGTCAAGTGTGAGAGAGCCATGCTTTGACAAAAATGGGTCTGCTCGACTGGAGTGATACCACGGCCTCACAGAAAACCGGCATGAAAGAATCACAGCGTTGTGTTTTGCTGTTTGAGTGAGGTTATCGGAGGTCCAATCCTTTCCCCTCCCGCAAACCTTAATTCCCCAAAAGGTCGGCAACTCGTAACTCTTCCGTTGGGCGGCACTGATGGCTTACCATCAGGTAATAGGTCTGCTCGTTTGCCGACGAAACACACATGTAACGACGAAAGTCGGTCGAGTGCTGAACAAATGCTTGTACAAAAAGGCATTTGCTATAATCTCTTCGTTTGGATTTTGTTGGAGATTGCCCAAAAAATTACACTAGTGAGCAGATCAACTCTTATAGCTATGTAGGTAGGCTGACAGCCACGCTGCAAATATTACTCACCGCTATGTTCATGTTAGCAGCAGTGAGCCCACTCTCCTGTATGCTTGAAATATAAAAAGATGAACTTAAAACAAACAATTAAACAAACAAAAACAAATAGGAACTAATCATTCAGACTTTCACAAAAACTCAAACATATACCTCTAATAATATTAAATTTATCTACAAATACATCACAGTCGGGATAGGCCTCCACGATACTATTAAGGGCGGACAGCGCTATGATGATGCACGGGCTACGGTACGGCATGCGGGCACGGCTATGCTATATGTTCATTGCACTTAAACTAATGACAAAAAATCACAAACGGTAGTCACAATCGTGACCTTGAAAATTTTCTTAGAAGAGTTTTTCAAGGCTATCGTTATGAGATGTCCATTCGAATCCCAAAAATAATGGCACATGTATTATTTTTACAGGATAGCGCAGCAGCAAGAAAACGTTAGGAAATTCTCGAACCAGCAACAGCCGAAAGCTATTCCTGCACCTCGGAGCACTGCATCGGCGCACAAACCAGTAGACCTGGCCGCGACCCTCTTACAATCAAACCTAAATCAACTCTCGAAACCCTTACCTTCATCAGTACCACATCCTGTAACTCCAAGTCAAAGCATGACACCATTATCCAACACACATTTCACCAACACAGGTATGGCCGCGAATTCCAATTTCGGTTTTCCAAACCAATTCACTGGGTTTGATACACAACCAGCTTTACCATCAAACTGGAATGCGCCATCTTCAGGGAATTTCAACAATAAATGGGCCAATAATCAAACTCAGTCGCAAGCTAAGAAACAGGACTGGTCGGCCTTCGAATCTCTATTACCAACTCCAAATAATAATACGACAACTTCAAATAGTAACGTAAAACCACTGTCAGATAATGAAATGATGGATCTTTTGAGTTAAATTCAAATTGTTCGGTTAACTTCCTATTGTTTGGGTTGCCAGACAAAAATTTCCTAGAAACTAAATTGTGGGATGTGTCCATGCTGTTTATGAGCTCATAAGGCTACCACGTGATTTAAACAAATAAAGAAAAAAAAAATGAAATTTTTGATTTCACATACTTTCTTTATTTGAATTGCTTTTTTTACTGTTTGTCACATCACATTCCTATTGTTGGTATTTATTATGATTTAGGTGCAACAAAATGAGGGTTTTTTTTATATTGAAATGACATTTTTCTTCTTATTAAATTTATTATTTATTCGAATTATATAAAAATAGAATAGCTTTTAAAAAATAATTTTAAGAACATATCATATTTATTATTTTTCTTTTGTCAGCCAGTGAATAGGTCATTGCAAAATGGTATTTTATTTTTAATAGGTATATGGCCACATTTCTAGTAGTTTTTAATGCTCTTTAAAACACCAAGCTTATTTGATTGCTTTTAAACTGATATTTCAATTTTATTTTATTATAACAAAATGTAATACTTGTATTTACAGGTAATATGTATATATATTTTTTACTTTTTATTAGTAACAGCTATTACAAAACAACTTACAGGTTGATTTTGCAGATATAAGCAGATAAAGCTACCCCATTCTGCCAATTTACTTTAATGGGATTTCAATTTGTGCATGGTCAAAAAGGCCGTGGCCTCGGCCTGGACCCGGAGAAGGAACGGAGTAGGTTTTAGTCAGTAAGAATCTTGACACTCCTTCTACCGCGATCGTCCTACTCTAATTGGCTTCTCCCGCCGAGAGTGGGGTGGGAGGAAGTGCCAGACTCTTACTGACTAAAAACCTCCCGTTCCTTCTCCTGCTCTAGACCGAAGCCGCGGTGCCTTATTGCGCTTACGCCGCAACCCGTGCTGAACATCAGCCCTATGGGGCAACGTCTGTGGTGGTCTATTGGCTCTTTGAACGCGCGGAACACTACGCGCTGTACGCTCGGGTCTTGTTCTGGTCGGGGGCAGACCCGCGAGATAGGTCATTTGATGATTTTCTCGCTCAATAAAATTGGCTTTCTACAAAGACGTTTTTATACTTAGGTCAGTTGAAAGCGACCTCCATCCAACGACACACCATCTAATATTGTTACTGTTTGAAAAAAATGCTAGATTCAGGGTAGCTTTACATGCTGAATGTCTGTATTAGGTAACTAGGGAATTGAAATATAAAAACCTATTAAACCTTTTTAGCATAACAATATTTTATATGTACATAGTTTCTTGAAACACTAGTCTTTTGCAATACAACCAGTCTTAGTCCCTGTTAATAAAGTTTAAAATTGATTAGCGTTATTCTTATGTTGTATAGCAAGAGGCTGTGAAATAATTGGACACCTCTTTGTATTTAAAAACCAATCTTATGTTTATAGTGTAAAGGTATTAATTTGCTCGACGTTTTTCGATTTCGATAATATTCCGTTAGTAATATGTAGTTGGCGCCTGGGTGTTTGTAAGACAGGACTAGCACATCAAGCTACCAGTTTTTTCAGATTTCTTCAATCGATTTTCAACTCTATTATTTTACATCTGGCTTTCTGTTTGCATCGTCGCCAGCGTGGAATGATAACTCTCTTGCTCCCTACCTTGTAAGAATATTGTGAAAACAGTTATTCTATATTACTTTCTAAAAGTTTTTAATTTTACATTATGAATAAGTTTCTGAGCGAATACAAGGTTTTTTCCAAGATAAAACAGCTCTTTCCTCTTCATAATAATATTGGATAGTAGCATAAAGTTTTAATTATATTTCTGAAACCAACTTGAAAATGAAGGATAACTTGATGTGCTATTTTCTCCTCCCAGTGCGTTATCTACCATAGATGTGATACATTTATTTTATAAACAGACTGCATCAGATGTGATCTCTTAAAAATAAACAACTTACTAAATGTACTGTCGTTTTAATAATTTATTTAAGTATGGCAAGACATTATTTACATGTAGCAACACTTCAGCTTATAATTAAATCCTTATTTTATAGTTTACAAATATATTAAATAAAAGTTATCAAAATTAACACTCGTTACAAAAGTACGTTGTAGGTACAAAATATATTTTTATTATCTTAATTCTAATTTTAAAATAACCTAAAAAATATTTAATAAAATTAAAAACATTCTTTGCATACGAAGCAGGATACTCGCATTCCGATTAAATAACACAACCTTTTATATTAGTATACTGTTATTTTTTTTATTGAAAAAAAAATTAATTAATTCTGATTAATTTGACTTTGACTTGACATGAATTACAATACCGCCAACGACGTATCTTGGCGAGTCTGAAGTTAGCCGATTAGCTGCGCAGTACACAATTTGGTTCCTAAAAGATCCACTGCGCAGACAAACGGCTAACTTCAGACTCGTCAAGATACGTTCGGCCGTACTGTAACTGAGAAAAGCTCATGGGACGCCGCAACGCGCACGCTGTTCATGAATAAGATCAACAATGATGCTCATGAAGACGTCGCGCTGCCAAATATCGTTCTGACTTGAAACTGGAACTTTTATCGGTTAATAGTAATACACGGGAATAGGTAAGTCGTTGTTTTAATACGTTTAGTAGGTATGTGACATGAACTCTTAATAATTATTATACATAAATATAAATATATTGTTTTTGTTGAACGTTTAAGAATACTTTTATAATTATTGTGATTGTTTTTGTTATTTTACACAGGGTAGACCATTTTATATATTTTTTATTTTAGTTTTGGCGGTTCGGTAGCTAATATAGCTACAGAAAAACAAGTTACCTAGAAATTCTGAGCTAAACCTAGTCAGGTTAAAGCTACTCACTAAATAAAGACGGTAATTTTTGTTAGAGTTAAAACGCACTGAAGCGACAATCCATTCTATTCGCGCTTATTGGTTCGGCGTATTCGCACGAATTCGCACACATTCACTCGCATCTTTTTAATCTTCGAAGTAAACTGTTTATTGCTCGGTGGAGATGAGGTTGATATTGAGTTCGGTAGTTTCCTAGCTCAAAAAACAAATTAATTCGATGTTTCAACACAATAAAATATTGAAAAAAAAAACTATACTTTTATTCATCTGTCGATACATAAAATTTTAGATTTCTATAGCAAATTTTAAGAAATAAGTAAGCTATTTGACGTAAAAAACTATGACGTCATAATTTGGAGTTTCATAGACAAGTTTAGTACCTATCGTTTTTGTCATTTGGATAAAAGTATAGAATTTGACTAATTGGAAACTACCGTATTGCTTCGATGCGCTTCGAAAGCTGACAAACTTTCAAGGCTTAAAAATCTAAACAAAAATTACCGTCTTCTCCTAAAAGACAAAGCGAAGAACATGCAAGCGGTCACAGTTTGTAATACGCTGGCTGTCAAGAAACAAGTTTTGTAATCGTAATTGTAAATGAGCGACCACGAGATGATAAAAATGGCGACGATAGTATTTGAAGCGGTCATGGTGGCTGTGGTGTCGAATTCGTTTAGCGTGCTGTTGTATAATGGCTGCTGAAGTATGCTCGACGCTGCTGTAGAGAAACTGGCCAGCATGCACCATACTACTAGTAGACTCTTGTTGGTGGATAGAGCTATACCTGGGGAAGAATTTGGTTTTTGTTTAAGGCTCTTCTATGATGTGTCTTCTAAGATTAAGATTAGGTACATAAATAAGTAATAAGCTTAGATTAGAAGTTTTTTCTGGACGGTCCGAACGTATGAAAGTCAAAAAGGAACAAGCGCTACCATGCTTGGTAAACTTTCTTTGTGAAGGGTCCAAAAAGTTGATAAAATCATGTTAAGCTACTCGTACCCGGTAAAATCATAAATTATTATGAAACGGGTGGTCTCACGGCATCCAATAATAAAAAAAAAATACGTTTGCTCTTACCATAGAAGCCCATAGCACCAGCTACGCAGAAGGCAGCACAGAGTCTTGCCTTCTCATTGATGGACTTCGGAAGCACTACGCACAACATTATGAAGCACAATGCTGATCCGTGGGCTGCTGCTATCAGTGTTGAAACCTGCGAAAGGACATCAGGAAATTATAAAAGATTGGATGAATGAAATTTTTGGAATATTTCTGGTTGATATTTTTAAGAAACGTAATTTTTTTCTGAAATATTGATAAATAGGTATATGCTATGCTATGGCTCTGCTCGACGGCCGCACATAAAAAACGGCCGGAACACACAAATACAGCGTTAATCTTTCGCCGTGTGAGTGAGGTTACCGGAGGCCCAATCTGTCGCCCCATCATTAAATATCCGAAACGCTTATCCCCAAAAGGCATCGGCAACGCTCACGTAACTCCTTTGGTGTTGCGGGTGTTCAAAGGCGGCGCCGATCGCTTACCACAAGTAATCCGTCTGCTCGTTTGCCGCCAGAAAAATAAAAAAATAATAATATATAGATATGCCATATCGTCTAATTTGGTGTTCAATTGTATTTTTCCCTACCCAAATGGGAGAGGAGCGTGATATACATATGTACCTACCTACCTACCTGGTAATTGTTTGTCCTTTGTGGAAGATATAACAAAAGGTTACTTATTTTGTTCTTGAAACACGATGTTTTAATATTTTTAGCTTATTTTCCTTTTGCATAATTAATATACTTACTTACCTTATGCAAATAGTTAATATGCAAATGGTTACAAGGAAAGTGGTCGTGACATAGTTAATGACGATGTCTAACAAATAGTTGGTATTAATGGGGCTAAAGAAAAGACCACTCACCGACCAAATATTCATCGAAGGATTCTGCTCCCATATCAATGGTGGGAAGATAAGTCCCAACACCAATATGGAGAACGTGGTACACAGATGCAGTAAAGCATACAAGTAGAAGTTGATATCCTTCAGCATGTTGGTTATCGTGAAGAAGTTTTTCTTCAACGAAGCTGTTCTTCTAGCAGTGCCTGGTGATACTTCAGCAGCGAAGACCACGCTGTTCGTCGGAGCATTTACCGTCGTCTCTCTGTACAATGGCTGGGGTGCCTGTCTATCAATATTCTCCAACTCCTGGTACCCATTAACTCTTGCATAACTAGTAATGTCCAAAGCACCGAAATCTGATGAAAACCTGTTTGTTCCTGTGTCGTACATTGTGCTGAAATCGGATGAAAACCTGGACTGTTTGGAAGCTGATCTGTTTTCCCTGTACTGTATGGCAGGATCTAGAATTTCTTTCGCGTTTTGCCTTGAGTTGAAAACTACCACATCAGTGCCGTCTTCTTCTACTGTCGCACTGTTTGATGGTTCCCCTTGAGAGCTGATTGGTTCATTGCGTTCGATGTTCTTCCGTTCAGCTTCGGCCTCACTTTTTCTTGCTTGATTAGAGAATATGACCTCATCTTCGTCCTCAACTGCCTCTCTGAGCATATTGTATGTATGTCGGATAACTTTTTCGATGTAGATCGGTCGTGTGTATGATGCTAAGAAGATGCAGTTTTGCATAATGATGGCTCCGTAGATCATGACGACCACGTCACCGGTGTAAACGGAGCACAGGTACCCGATTAGTATGGGTACCAGACAGTTGCCGACAGAGGGAGCCATGCGCACGATCCTCTGCGCCATCGTTAGCTTCTCCCTGAAGTAATGAGTGATGATGACTTCAGTCTGCTGCCCAGTTAAGGCGCACCCGATTCCTGGAATTTATATTTGGGTAGTTGTTAATGGATTGAGTTGGCAGTTTGAAAGTGAGTGAGTTTTATCTTTGTGAGATCTTATTTTTGGTTTTATCAAATGAGTCAAAATGAAACATTCTCAATAAGTTTGCAATTTTTGTTACAATCCAATTTTTAAAGTAAAAGTACCTACCTATTTTGTTTTTTAAAACGTTAAGCAATCTATAGTAATATTATAACGAGGTAAAAGTAAGTTTGTGTGTTGGTATGTTTGTGTGTAGGGGGTAATCTTTGGAACCGCTGGACGGATCGCCAAAATTATTTTTACTGATAGATAATCAGAATCAGAACAATGTTCTTGAGTGCTATAATAGGCTATAAAACATCACGCTACGATCAAATAGAGCTGAGCAGCAGGTGAAAACGCGCGAGAGTATCTAGTATATAGGTACTTAAATAAACCAAGAATAGCTTGTTTCTTGTAGCTCTAACCATAAAGATGCCTGGTAGGTGGGTAACTATACCATACCTCATAAAGTGCAAATCGTATCATGAAAAATTATGCACTTTGAAATTCTGAACGGCTGGGCATCGAACTCAAAATTTCGTAGGCAAATATAGCGTAAATTAAACAATACATAAGTACATTTATTTTATCACGAAACGTTTCCGTCTTTATGTAAATAAGATACAATTATATTGTAACGCTAGCGGTGACATTCTAACATTGTATTATAAATAGACCATTTTAGCATCTCTATTTCGTGTCACGTTTCATTTATATATTATAATTATGTAACATTTTGAAGGCATATTTGACCCATGGACGTAACCTTCACGAGGTATACCTAAAGGTAGTTATATTAAATACTGGCCTCCGCCCGCGGCGACACATACGCCCGCGCAGAAAAGTAATACCCGGGTTTTTTTTAAAAAAAGCAGCGTCTGCTTAAGTATAGCGTTAGCCTAACTAAAATACGGAAATAACGTATTTATTCAATTTAAATAAAAATAAAGCTTAGAGCACTAAGGAACACTGTACCTAGCTAACTATCAGTTAAAGAATTTTGGAAGAGAAGAATAATTAATACCCCCTATATGCAGGGATGATAGGGAATCCCAAAACATTAAACATTCGTCGAAAAACGTGTATTATTTAGACGAAGATACATTATTTTTTACTTATATCTAGCTAGATATACCTATCTACTAAAGTATTTTGTACGAAGACTATGCTTAAATGTGTTGAACTTGGCCTGGCCCTCGTTGTAACTAAGTTTACTTATTTTAAATCAATCGATCCGTTCCAATTTCGTTTTTACTGAACATACCATTTGTATAATTAAACGAGGTAAAAACAAAAACAGTTAAAGCCTTGTTTTGCTTAAAACAGCAGTAAGTACTTAATTAGTCGTTACATATAACTTACTTACAGATAATAAAATCTAATCTAGTTACGCACAAGGAAGGTACATACCATGTACATACCTACTTAGATTGTGTTTAACCTTAAAAAGGACATTTTTAACTACCTAGATTAGTAGATATTATTGTGTAAGTATAAAGTAATAGGTATTGTATATCTGATTAATTTTAGTCTATGATCCTATCTGGGATGGCGGGGCTAGCGTAATAATGTCCCGAGGTCCTAGCCTGTAGCCAGAGTGGTTTTAGTCAGAAAGAGCTCTTGCCGCTCTTATTTGAAGATTTTCCCGCCACAAAAAATAAAACCCTATAGGTGACCTTGAATTAAGTAAAACATTTCTTTTCATTCAAGTATCTTCCGCAGCTGAACAAGACATCTGTGTAAACAAGTCGTGACTATTTAATTTAGTATTAAGTAAATATATGTTTTATTGTTCCATTAAAAGTTATAAAGTTGTTATTTTTTCAAGTACCTAAAGTTAAAATTAAGTACTCTTTCCTTGTTTTATTTTTTTGCTCATTGTTCGGTGCCAAATAAAATATATATATTTTTTGTGAGGGGATTATCATCACGTGGCTTCTCCCGCCAAGGGTGGGGCGGGAGGGAGTGTCAGACTTTTACTGACTCAAAACACAACCGTTCCTTCTTCTGCTTTATGCCGAGACCGCGGTGACTCATTGCGCTTGTCCCGCAACCGCGGCTGAACATCAGCCCCTATAGGGCCCCATCTGTGGTGGTCTATCGGCTCTTTGAGGCGCGCGAAGAACTCGACGCGCCGTACGCTCGGGTCTGGTTCTGATCGGGTGGCGAGCTAACCTTACTCGCCGTCCACAGACCCGATAGTGAGGAAATCTTGATTTGTAATTTCTTGTAAGAGCAAGCGTGGTGATCAATGCTCAAACCTACTCAGGTAAGAAGAGGCCTTTGCTCAGTAGTAAGCTCTTGTACAATGATGATAATGAGGCACTATTACTTCTTATAGGTACCTTCTACTGCATCATCATCATCATCATCATCAGTCGTCTTGCAGCTGAACGTAGGCCTCCAGGATCGGACGTTTGGGTTCGACCTGCATCGAGTACCTCCCACCCCTCCCTTATTAGATCGTTATCCATCTTATAGATGTACGTACCTAAATTCTTAATTAGTTAAATAATCAATAAGTGATTAAGTTACTGATAAAATAAATATTTCCTAAAACTGCACTATTCAAGATAAGCAGGTGATTGTTTTGAAGGCTTATAAAAGTAAAAAGTGTTACTATTGGTACGGAGATAGGTACCTATATCTATCTATCCGATAAAGCTAATTCGTTATACCTTGAGATTGGTAACAATATTCACAATAACATCTTTCACTAATGCATTAAGTAACTTCGGTAATTTTTGATTTAAAGATTATCATCACATCATTCGTAAAAATAACAATTTCTTTGTAAAGCAATGACTAATAGACTATAAACAATAGTTAGCAGATATAATCTATGGACTATGACTCCTAGGATTAAGTTGAACAATGCCTAAAGTATCGAAGTACCTAAGACATTTCTAAGTGTTTTTAACTTGAACGATAAGATCGACTTCATTCAATGTTTCCAAGAACTAAGGTAATGCACAAATCAACTTTACCTTTGTTAGGTACATAGATACCTACCTTATACAAATATTTATATCTACTCTTGTTGAACAATAGATCCCCATTAGATAGTTACAACGTAAACGTAACGTCTCTTAAATATGCACTAAACTATTTAAAGACGTTTTTATTATTCTATTGATTCTATTCAACAGTGACCTTGTGAGCAAGGCAAAACATGGAAACTAAATTACCTGCAAATATTCCGGAGAATGTATTTACTATGTGGTCGTTGCTCGCCGCGTCTGTCGAGTAACTTGAGAGTAACACTCCTGCCACGGTCAGGCAGAGCCCTGACAGCGCCATGAACCTCGGCATGTGGAATATCTTCACCACAGCGCGGCACCATGACTCCAGCAACAGTCTTATCACCAATGCTATCACTGGCACCAAAGCTATGTCCACGTCCCATATTTTCAGAACTTCATTGTCCTCATGACCTTCCTCTCGAATTCCCTTTAAGATTATCAGTCCATACAACGACAATAGAGCTGGCACGGTGATGTGGTATATCACTGCTGACACAACAATCAACCATCCGTACCCTCCGTCTGGTGGAGTGGGCCCAATCTCAGGCTGTGAAGCTACGACTCTGTCCAAATGCAAGTCGTCTACTCTGCTTTCACCTCGCTCCATTCGACTTGGGGCTCGATTCGTTTGTTCTTCCATTATTTTGTCACAAAAACAATTTCTTCATTTTATAAAAATACATGCAGTCACTCACTTATCTAGGTGGAATGGGTGTGTTATCTTATCATTATCATTTGGCGTAATCACTTGCTCTAGATTTTGAAATTCAGCGCCAATTTAATCCAACACAACAGACAACTACGCCACATTCTCATTATTTGTATACTGATTGATACAAACTGAGAAAATATTTTCATAAAAATACATTGGAATTATTGGTAAACGAAAAATAAGAAATTAAAATAATTTTAAAGTTTAACGTGGTGAGTTTCTGAACGAATACAAGAGAGATAATAAAATATTATACGACTAAATAGGAAACCATCCGCCATTTCGACAGAAAGTGACAGCCATATACAGCAATAGATACTTTAGAAAGGGACTTCCGATATTTGATTACTGTAGGGCGTATTTTCAACTAAGTTGGTTTTTACAAAATGAATGAATCCGTTTGATCGACATTCGTGCGAGACGCTCTAATTGGAATTTTATGATTTTTTCAATAATGCAAAGGTATTTTAAATGAAATCTTGTTGACATTTAGTAGTAAAATGTGGAGCATATAATTTACTAGAGCAGTGTAAAGTTTTCCATGTGAAATCATGTAATACATCGTGTTCACACTCCGTGAAGCATTTTAATTGCTCGTTATTTTCGTGATATTATTATTGTGTGTTGGTGTAGGTGTTTATGGTGCTGTGCTGATGGATAGGGTCGAGGAGTGGAGGCTGTACAATGGAAACGGAGTCGGTGAGATCTGAGTTGAGCAGCCGGTCGCGACGAAGCTCGAGGCACCGGCAGCACACGCATCGGAGTACCCGGTGAGAGATACATTCACTCTTCATTCCTCACTAATATCGAACAATATAGCCTCTTATTAGATGCCCTGTACATCATAACTCAAAATTCTGCCCATAACTGAAATAGTTTGCTACAAACCCATGGGAATTTCCCAAAACTTAATTACAATGTGATAGGATCATAATTACAAGATACAGGCCTCCCACCAATTTACTGTTTCTATGTTATCGGATTTAGGCCTTACAACTGCTTAGTTAAGTGAGAAGAATCAGGAATGTACATAAAATTCTCATTAATATTCCAAAGTGGTTTTGGGATTATTGTAAAGCATAAAGTATGCATGGCAGGTGTATGTTAATGTTCTTAAATAATAACTGTTTTGTAGTTATTTTGACAAGATCCTGTTTCTTTTAGTGTACACCATATCTTTATCTGGAATTTTTATGTCTGCTAAGCTTTATTCAAATTAATAAATATGGAAAATATATAAATTTCAAACAGGGTCCTAAGGTTACTCACTGACAGATTTAGCTATTGGACTCAACTTCTTTATCGCTGAAATATAAAAAAATTAAGTATTACTTAGGTACATAATTATTCTTATGTGAATAATTGTTTAATATTTCAGGAGCACTAAGTCACAGAGGAAGGAATCTTCAGATAACACAATGGCACCATTCCAAACTAGTGTAAACATTAACCCAGAAATGGGTAGAGATGGGCAGGAGGTTATAGAGGTCCAAATCTTGCCACAGGATGAGAATTGGGGAGAAAACACTACCGCAGTCACTGGAAACACTTCTGAGGGCTCCCAATCAATGGAGGATGTCAGTAACTGGCCTATGGAGTCAGATAATGGAATTGGTTTTGTGTGCACCCGATATTTTGGCACGACAATAGCTCTTGGTCTGTCTTTTGTTTCATTTGTGAGTCCGTTAGCAATGGTAGTGCTGCCAAAGATTGGTTTCTTCCCTGGATTGTCAGATAACATTGCTATACAACCAAGTCAGAGGATACAGCTGCTCTCTTGCACAGCAGAATGCAAAGGAATACTCCTTTCTCTTGCCTTCAAACTAGTTTTACTAGCCATTGGAGTGTGGGCCGTATTTCTTAGACCGAGAAATGCAATATTACCAAGAATATTTGTCTTCAGAGCAATGACACTCGTCATTCTGGCTGTTTGTGTATTTTCATACTGGTTGTTCTACATTGTTCAAATAACAGAGGCATCTAAAGCCCTCGCTGTGGGCGAGGAAGCAATTGATTATCACTCCTTAGTATCTTATGTATCCAGTTTCGCTGATACATTACTATTTATACATTATATAGCTGTAATTTTAATGGAGATCAGGCATTTGGAGCCTGTATACTACATAAAGATAGTCCGAAGCCCTGATGGTGAAAGTAGATCTTATTCCATTGGACAGTTGAGCATACAAAGAGCAGCTGTGTGGGTTCTACAGAAGTATTACACTGAGTTTCCAATATATAATCCATATTTGGAGAAGATTCCTATATCTAAGTCACAGAGGAAGGCGCAGTCCAGTATAAAGTTTTATGAAGTGGATGGGTCTACTAATGCTGCACCAGGGCAAGCTAGGTGAGTTTCTAAACTAACTTATTTATTTTAACCAAAGACTAGCTTCATTGCTAGCTACTCCCGCGCGGTTTCACTCGCTGCTCAGCTCCATTTAACCGAAGCGTGATGTTTTATAGCCTATAGCACTCAGGAACATTGTAACTATCTATCAGTGAAAGAATTTTGGCAATCCAACTAGTGGTTCCAAAGATTACCCCCTACATACAAACTTACAAACTTTACCTCTTTATAATATTAGTAATTAAGATCTCTAAAAAAAAACAGATTTTATGATATCATTATGAGAATTATGTCTCAGTGCTTGCTATAAGTATAATAAAGACTGTTTAAAACAAAAACTTGTGTTGTTATACCTGTATGTGAGAGCATTCTATTATTTAAAAAACAAAGCCAACTAAACAGAAGCTTGTGGAAAGGGTCACATGCACCTAACTTCATGATAATGATACACCTGTCCTATTGTTAATACCTAGACAGAATAAGGAAATGCTCCACTTTCAACAATTTTCGTACCCTCTAAAGATCTATATAAATTCACTTTTAAATCCTTGAAAGATAAAATTTACAGCAGTGTATTATCCACCAGCTTTTCCAATATATTTTTGCTATAACACATAGCAAATGTATTAAATACAACTAAATTCTACATCCTATCTGAGAATAAATTACTCAAATTCAAAACATGTATTGAAATGTCAAAAAGGATATTTTCCTATAGACTTTGTATGAAATCGTAACATGACGTCATAACTTGTTAATTTCTAAACACTAGATATGAAAAATCTAAAAGTATAAGTAAGTCATTTTTTAACGGCAAATTAATTTATGAAAGTTGTATTTTAATAACTTATTATACTCAAAAGCCAAAATAATATGTGGCTTCCTATGTCAAAAATATTTTATTTTATGCTGTAAAAATAAAAGCAATCTACATTAGACCTCCATGAATCTCATTACAACAAAATGAAACAGTTAGGAAGTGAATTTTGATTGGTATTTAAATTTATAGAGTAACCGTCACGGTTATAATGGATTTACCATCGATGCCGAAAAGAAGTGTGGCCAATTGATGTTTTAAAGAGCGGCGCTAATGGCCGCCTGTTGGTTGGTTCTTAGATAATTGTTTTGATGCTTCTGACCCGACGAGGCTTCCGAGTTCATTCTAATTTCAAGTTCATTTTTTTTTCTCAAAGTAATTTAGAAGTTGCTGTATGAAAAAAACAAGAATGTAATATTTTGTTGACTACTAATGACGGCAGAATGAGAGAGAAAAATAAGGCTTAGATCTCTGTCTTTGAAGGGATCTATAATAGAGCCTATATGTCGGTACATACAATCGCCCTCGCAATGTTTATTTAGAAATTAAATAAATGGAATAATCATGGTTGTGTTTATTCACACGTAGGGACTTTGATTTTTTTTTAACAGTTACGAGGATTTGGCGCCTTATAATTTAGCTGCCTAAAGAATCCAGCATTATGTTAAAAAAGGGTCAACTATTCCGTACTTTATTATGCACCTTTTTATTTCTTTTTATCATCAGCCTGATGGACATAGGCCTCTCTAATTGCACGCGACTGACTTCGATGTCCAGCTCTTCTCTTTCAACCATCACTTCATCACGTCCTTTTTATTTGTATGTGTGTTTATTAAGCCCGGGTCACACTATCGCGATTATATCGCTATTATCGCGATAATGGACGTTAATCGTAGGTGTAATTTGATCACTAAACAAATGATTTAAAGTATATTTTTCATTGTTTAATATCACCAATTAATGCGATAATTATTGGCATTTCCCGTCAGTGTCGCGTTTTTTTTTATTAAAAATGTTAAATTGTCATCGATAGATCTACAACGGGTTCGTGTGGCGGCGGCAGTACCCGGCGGCGGGACTCGGGGTCTGCCCACAACGAGCGATACTACGAAGAGGCCGAGCGCGAGCGACGCGTGCGCAAGAGACGCGCCCGGCTCCTCACCAGCGCCGAGGACGCCTTCGCGCATGTACGCCGCGTGCGTGTCTCTAGTAATGGTACGGGTGCCTTATTATTACACTTCTTACCCTTTTAAGTACTGATTTTTTTAAAGGTAATTAACAAAAATGGATCTATGTAATCTGCAATAAATAAATGAATTGAATAAATCCCCAGATTAAAAGTTTGGTGTTAAGTAAAATTTTTCTAAGGGCCGATTTTTCAATAGTTATCTGAGGAATAAAATTGTTGCTGTCACTGTCTTATACAAACATTCTGACGGGACAGCATCATAATTATTTCCCAGGTAACTTTTATGTAACCATTAAAAATCAGCCCTAAATGAATTGAGTAAATGCCTAGATTAAAAGTTTGATATTATGTAGGATTACTAAGTTGAGTTATTATCGGCAGGCGGCGCGCTAGGCCCGCGCGAGGCGGCGCAGGCAGTGTTCCCGTCGCTGGCGCGCGCGCTGCAGAAGTACCTGCGCGCCACCCGCCAGCAACCGAGGCACTCCGCTGACTCAGTCAGTACTATTGTATTCATTTCAACTCATAAACACCTCTTTAGTATATTAGGTTTTTTATTGAAATTTATTTATTGAATATTATTATTATAACGACTATTGAATATAACGACTTATTCTCGTGAACTACATTAAAAAAGCTCTACTCATTAAAAAAGCTCTACTAATTTCAAGTCACAGTGGGACTCTTGTTCTTAAGCAGTGTGCGACTCGAGCTTTTTATTGTTTGAATATTAGCTTCGTTGTGACACTTTATATCTTTAAAACTTATTGAAATAAATAGGTTTTGACTTTTTGACTTTCACTTTATTATTATATACGGCTTACTCACATAAATGTTGGTCGACGTAATTCAACCAGTTACAAGTCATACCGAGGGCTCTTAATTATTAAGAAAAACTCAATACATATGTATTGAGTGTACCTCACTTATATAAATGTATAAGCAGAACGTCTCTATAACTTAGCCTAGTTAAAAGTGTTTTTGTTCTGAAATGTGTCAATACCTAAATGAGTAGGTACAGCTACTAATTAAAATATGCACTTTCCAGGTCCTTGCACATTTAGCGCGCTGTCTATCTCAAGACGCATCACCACGTGCCTTCTTAGAGCCATTCCTCGTTGAGGGACCTGTGCTGGCAGCTGAACAAGAAACCAGACCGATCCAAAGATGGTCCCTGATCTCCGACGAGCTTCTAGCTAGACCGTTGGCTGACAACGTGGAATTTCAACTAAGACAGGGTGATATCTCACTTATTTGTACCATAAAGCAATTACCTAAGTTTTCATTGACAGAAGAGGTCGTCGACCCCAAGAGCAACCGTTTCATTTTACGGCTAAATTCAGAGACATCCGTTTGACAGGAGGAGTTTTGTAGTAGAGATGACTTCAGACTCGTATGACATACGGAGTATTTTTAGGTTAGGTGATGGACAGAAGTTTTGGTTTGGGTCCTGAGATTATGAGTCTGTGTAAGTCAAAATTCATTGACTACAAGGACTTTTATGTGACAGTGATAGGACTTTACTCGCCCCTTGAGGTATTATACTGCAACCCAGTTTTTAAAATCATATTCATATATCACTTTTGACTAAGAAATAATTGTTCAAACTTAAAAAAGGTCATATAAAAAATTTCTACTAAACTCTACTTAATTTCAACTGGCAACACTGGGGAAGAATACTGCCAATAAGTTCCTTAGATTAAATTAATATATTTATAAAAGTTTGCCTGTCTACGCTTGTGTTCAATTTGGTGCGAATTAAAGCTTCTGTTCATTACCTACAAGAAGTAATGGCAGTTCATTTTGCTGTCAATTTAATGTTGCTTATGCAAATGTTTTAATGTACTGTGTGATTGTTATTTATGGATTTGATTATTATTAAAAATAAGTGAAATTTGTAAAAATATGACTTCTTCTGTCATTGTCGTACATGATAGACAAATACTTTCCCTTTTTCTACCATTAGGTAGGTTGTTATTCTAAGATTTTGATAGAACATATTTTTAACAATAATAAGCCCTCAAAGAAGCTTACAAAATGTATGCATTGCTGAGCATAAAGATTTATTTTATATAAACAAATCCTTACTGATACCATAAGGGCTGGTTTAAGCCACACTATTTGACTTCTATAAAACAGTATACTCTGTTGATGGGGATACAAAATTAAGTACTTTTGTATTTACATACAAATATTTTGATTTACGCTTTTATCGCGTTATAGATACGTTGTTCGTATATCTAAGAAGAAAACCTAACATATAACTTTAACGAAACAAAAGCAAATACTCATTTTTGAAATAGAATGCTCTGAATTAAAAAAGTATAACCTCCTTTGTACTGATTCGTTTATAAATTGAATCTCAATAAAAAATAATCTCAATTAGTATTATAAGTATATAAAAAATTGAGTCGCCATTTTGTCAATACACAATGTTAAGAAAAGACTAGACTGCATTTAATTTTTTATATTTTTTATTAGTTTATAATAAACAAGTTTTGTACATTCGTGTCATATTCTACATAATGTATGTATTAAGCACAATTTTAGTAGTATTTAGAATAAATATTATTATTAATAATAGAAATATTATTGTACTTTGCGTATTTTTAACGAACATCAAAAAAATAATTGTTTTTTTTAATCGTTATATAAGTATGAAGATGAATCTAAAACGGATTGTAACTATCGTGAGCTAAAATCGTGTAAATTTATTGAAAAGACTTCCGTAAATCAAAAGAAAAGACTTTTATTCATGAGCAGTGTGCGCGTCGCGGCGACGTCGCAGCCAACTGACTACTCGAGCCCCCAAGTACGTAGTAATTACGTACGTAATAATTTCTCAGTTAATTTGCGTGAGAAAGTCAATCTTTTCAGTAAAAAAAACGGATCGGTTTTTCCAACTCGGGAAATGTGCTATTGAGTTTTCTCAACATAAAGTATGGAATCTTGTTCAATTTTTTTTTAAATGATATTTTGGCTATAAATATATTAATACCACACGCGACCTTCTTCAATAATTAATTTCTTGCCAAATGTTAAATGTTTTCTTTTTGAAAAGTACGCATTGTGCATTTTCCTGCCCAGTGGACAAGGATGAATCTCGAGTGTATAGTATATTATTATATTAATTCTAATTATACCATATCATAGGTTTATATTAAATATTTATTATGTTTAATAACTAAGCAAAATAGGCAGCTATTTATAATAGTGTTAGTTTTAAGTCTTACAGTTTAATTTTTTTATTGAAATGGCGGAATTTGATACTTATTTCTTCTTCTTATTTCGGCTTCTTCGACGCTTGATTGTGAAATCGAGCTCCGGTTAAGTGCGAAACTTGTCGGACGAGCTCGAAATTGGTAAATTACTAAATATCAGTATTTATTGATTGATTGATTAGTATTTTTTGACATATTATGTCGATATTAATTCTCCATTTTAATAAATATTTTAAAATGTATAGAGATAGTTAAAAGACAGTTGCAAGACTGGTTTTATGAACATTTTTAAATACATTTTACAAATAATGCAAGTGAATGAGGTTGTGCTTAGGACAATTTGTGAATGTGTGGGTGTCGCTGATATGACCAAAGAGTGCTTGGAATTTTTAGCTAATTGTAACATAACTTAAGGTCTAAAATCGTTTGATACGTAATTTTGGCAGCTTTTATTGCGCTAAAAGGCTAATCGCTGCAATTTTTCGAAAAATATGAATCTCTGTAAAAGACTATCGGCATAAAAGTACTATAAGGATGTCTTGTGTAAACTATTTTGTTAATTTTATGTTTAAGATTCCTATTAAATATATTTTTGACAATTTAAGCGGTTCTTTAAACCTTTATTATGAAATATCGATGTGTAATGCCATATCACTGAATAATATTATATCAAAAGTGGACTTTTCGTCTTATATATGGTTGTTTTCAATTATCAATATTTATGGGTCGAATTTTTAAACTCCTCGATCCTGAATATGTGACTTGACTTGTTACGCAAAGCAATAGTCAGTGTATGTATTCAAAAATAAAATAACTTGACAGCTCGGTTGACGCATTGGTTGAGCAAGCGGCAGCCGTGCAATCCGGACAACTTTGTGTAATTTACATATTTTTCTTCTGGGTATGGGTAATGCACCCACAATACAGAAGAAAACAGTAAAATAAACTTGATCTTCACGATAATAGTTATTTTAGAAAAGATAAAAAAAACTTTTAGCAACACTTTCATTATTGGTTATTGAAAACAATCTTATAAAGTCTTTCTAAATATCAAAGTTGTAACATAACGCCTTGTTAAAGCAGCCACCGCTGTATATCAATGCTCAAAACGCAGCCTTTTTGTAAAATGCTTGTGCCTGCTTAGAATAATTAAAAATTAAGTGAAATTATTCCATGAAATTATAGATAAATAGGATAATAGGACATTTTTATTGTTTATATACTGTATTTTTGAAGATTATAGATGAATTTTCTATTGGCCAGTTGATGCTGATGGTTTTTATGTTAAAATGTGACCCGAGGGCTGTTTCACTATGTCTAAATATTCGCTATGTACCAGATTATCTATAAATATGGAGGCACTTAATTAATTGGGTAGATACCACAGTCAAAAAGAAATTACTTTCGAACATGAAAATACTTATGAATAAACAGTAGTTGATTTTGTATTTTTCTAGCTAATTTAAGACAAAAATTTAGGTTGTTTGAAAAAAATACTTAATACGATGTTAAATACACAAATACCTACTTGTGGAGCCACAGCTTGCTATTTCATATAAAAATCAATCGTAAGTTTTTCACATTATGAAAATGTATGATTGATTGATATAAATGATTTTGACTAGTAGGACAACACTAACACTATACAACTAAAAACCACGCCAAAGTAACAAACAAATGTGCTCAAATTAAAATTTATGTTAGTAATGTACTGCCATCAGCATAAATAAATTAATTATTTTAATAAAAAATACCAAATGGCTAACTAAAACATTGGTTATGTTAAAAGACTCTGTTCAATGCACAAATGATCGCCTATAGATGTAATTATGCACATTATCGTAATCGTTGTAAAACAATTTGTACACTTTTGTATTTTTTAAATTATATAAAGTGAATTTTGTATATCTGTTTTTTATTAAAGGACTTAGATCCATAATTATTGTGATTCATATCTAGGGCAAGTTACCTCCTCAGCTACGGAAAAATTCCCGTCCCAGAGAATGAGAAGGAATGTAGTAGTTTTTCGCTAGTCAGTAAGAGTCTGACACTCCCTCTGGCCTCACCTTGCGTGAGAATTACAAAAAAGTCCATCCACCCGGGATCAGTCTTTGAATGATTTACCATATCAAAAAAAAAAAAAATTAACACCAGGTCTGAAGAAGGCATGGTTTAAAGTCATTTAAAGACTACCACCCCCGAAAAAAAGCACAGAGGAATATGTATGTTCCCCGTAACGTATCTCAGTCTCCTCTCAGTTAAATAAAATTACCTTAGTTGTTTCGAAAGAACATTTGGGCGCCAATTTTAGTGATACTAGGAAATAGTCAAACTAGACATACTTTAATTATATGGTAAACAAAGATAAAAAAATCATAGTCGATCTTACATCGTAAATATAGTATTGTAAGTGTTATCTCCGCAGACAAAGCAAGAAAAATATAGTTCATTGTGCAGGATATAGATTTCTGCGTAACGTACCGATTACTGCGTCATTTGATTCGTCATCCAGATTTATTTTATCTTTTCTGATAAATAAGTATTAGGTGTTTGTACTCAAGTGTTTAAAATAGAGTCATTATTTACTCTTATTAATACAGCCATGTCGCTTAGATTAAATTTCTTTGCAATAAGGTCGAACTTTTGCGTCGTTTTTAAGTGTTAAAAACATAGTAAGCTTACTGGTTCGTGTCCAATGAATTGTTACACCATGACCTGCGCCCACAGATAAGGAAGAAAACCTGTGATTGATTAAATTATACAATAAAAAGAATCAAGTCTACCTAAATAACGTAGCTCAAAATGTGATGAATGACGATCAGGATAGGTAAAGACTGAAGCACAGAATTCCTCAAGATTTTATACGTACTAGAATAAATAGGGTGCGATAAAGCTTACACACTATTCAGACTAATATAAGGTACCATCATCGTAAGATATTTGCTCTACTTCATTTAGAATTGATCTCTTTGACTAGGTGAGGTTGTGCGAGGTTTGCGGGGTAAGCGCAATGAGGCACCGCGACCTCGGCACAGAGCAGGAGAAGGTACAGTGGGGTTTTTAGTCAGTAAGAATCTGACACTCCCTCCCGCCCGGCCCTGGGCGGGAGAAGTGATTTGACGAATTTCCCCTCACAATAAAATAAAAAATATTGTGCGAGGTAGGTTTGAGTGATAGTACCAGAGATAGTAGTTTTCTAAATTCTAATTATTAGATAACATGATTCTGCTTGTTTTGTGGTATAAAATAAATGTGT